TGTCAAGTTTATTTATTTTAATTTATTTTTCGTCATTTTTTGTTCATTATTATAATTTTTTTTAAATTAACTTTGGCTTAATTTTATTTAATTTAACTGATTTTAATATATTTTGTTTTTTGGTTTTGTTAAGTTTTTTTATTTTAATTAATTTTTCGTCATTTTATTTTACTTCATAAAGTTTCATAAGTTTTTTTTTTATTTGTTTAAAATTATTTCATAATATATATTTTTTTTAAATTTACTTTGGTTTAATTTTATTTAATTTAACTGATTTTATTGTATTGTGTTTATTTTGTTAAATTTTATGAAGTTATTTTTTTTTTATTTTATAAAATTTTATGAATTTTTTTAAATTTTATTTTGTTTAAAATTTTTTCATTATTATAATTTTTTTTTAAATTAACTTTGGCTTAATTTTATTTAATTTAACTGATTTTAATATATTTTGTTTTTTGGTTTTGTTAAGTTTTTTTATTTTAATTTATTTTTCGTCATTTTATTTTATTTTATAAAGTTTTATTAATTTTTTTTTATTTTACTTTGCTTAAATTTATTTCATAATATGTTTTTTTTTTAAATTTACTTTGGTTATTTTATTTAATATAATTGATTTTCTTATATTTGGTTTTTTAATTTTGTCATAATATTTTATTTTACTTTATACATTTTCATTAATATTTTAAACTTTATTTTAGATTATATTGTTATTTGTATTTTATTTTGTTTTAATTCGATTTATTGTATTTTAGTTTATATTATATTATCTTTATTTATATTGTTTTTCTTATTTTAATATTTCTTTTGGCTTATTGGTATATATAAGTGCTTTGCTGCATTTGTTAAATTGGTTTAAATTTTAGCGTTGTTCAAAGGTATTTATAGGCATGACTCTACCAATTTTCATGTAAAGATGTATATTTTCGTCTAACTAATTTAATTACAAATGTTAATACATATATACCACCCGTATATCGCAGTATGTATGCAAGCGCATACACTATTTTTCCATTTACGTTCAACAAACAACAGCACAGGTGAGTGGCTTTGACTTTTTGATATTATCCACGAGTGTATTTGGTGAATAAGCGAAAATTGAAAATATTAAATTGTTAGCAGAAATTTTAAATTTCCCCCGACTTTGTTTGTCTAACGTTAAACAAACATTTGATTATAAATTCCAATATTTCCATGCATACATACTCTTATGTATACATGCGCGCTATAAATATAATGTGTCTGTTTCTCTAAAAAAAAATATTATTATTATTTCTGCAACACGCTGTTGCTGACCTGCCGTCACAAGCGGCGAACGCCATGCCGCGACGTCAACAATGAGGAACAGCTGTGCTCTTTGGGTCGGTTTTTCATGCTATAAATATGTTTCAATGTGGGCACGTGTGCGCTACGTTATCTACATACACACGAGTAAACTTATGTATAATATGTTAGCATTTATGTGCCGGAGTAGTAAATTAAATTTTGTACCATAAACATCCTGATCGCCCTAAGCTGGTAATGACATGACGCAGTGACGTTGCTCGGCAGCATTTTGTGCTCAGAACAGAACAATAAATATAATTACTGCAAATTCAATATTTAATTAATAACAAACAAATAACAAATACCAAATGTCATTAAAGTATTTGGCAAATGTTCGTACAAATAACTGCTGTTTATTTGAGTTGAATATATTAAATTAGGTATTAATGCAAGATAATAATCAACTCACTGATAAATAATTCCGACGCATGCTTCAAAAGCAACAACAATAAAAAGAAACAAATCAAATTGAGATAAAATAAATAAAAATAAAAAACGAACGGAAGAGCTTATAATTTATCGAGGAAGTGCACTCCGTTGAATACACAATTTTCCCGCCCCACTTCTCCTACCCTAATGTCCAATGCCTGCCATTAATTATGCTTCATCCTTTGGGGAAAGACAAGTAATTGATTACGCTTGGCGGGTTTTCATCTGCAATTAAACATAATACTATGCAAATAAAATAATGTTAACTATTAAAAAATTAAAAAAAAAATTAAAAAATTAAATATTTATTTAATCGCAGTTTTTTTATATTTATGACTGATTTGAAAATTTTCGTTGGTCATTATCTGCTAAGCACGTGTATATTGCTTCTGTTGCCATATGTCAATAAATTATTAACAGTTGAAAGGTTTCTGGTTTTTAAATAAATAAATGAGTCTACAATTTCAATTTAATTCCACTTTAATAGAAATTCCATTCACTTTCATTGGAAGTGCAATATTGTGGCCAAAAACATATCTAACTCTGGGGAAAATTCGTTATTTTTATTGCTTCTGTAGATGTGCAACAAATTTCTTGTTTGTCTTTCCCAATATCGTAAACCTGATTCTATGAAAGAGTTTGTCATTTGGTAATGTCATCAGATCTTTCCATTTTATGTGGAAATATAGGCTCTTAACGGATGTGAATTTGTTAGATAGACAAATGCTAGGTCTCATAAAAAGTAACCCATTATTTTTGCATTAAATTTACTGTTTTTTTCATTGTCTTTATAAAAAAAGTAGGAGCGTTGATTTTTAAAGGCTCCTCTTGAGGCCAATTTTTTCTCAGCCTAATCACTCGCCATCGACAGGAACAGATGCAAATCATTTGTTATGAGTTTCAGTCTAACGGGTAGATGCATAAGAATTTTCCAACCAACCTTCCAACTGAGCTTTCGGTGCAACAATGCCGATTTGTGTGGTCTGGCGTTGTCTCCATGAAACTGAATTTCCCTACATTTGGATAAAACTGAGCACTTCTGGGCAGTTACTTCCTTTAGGTGGTTCAATTGGTAGCAGTACAGTTCCAAGTTGAGAGTTTGGTCTTAGTGGAGCATCTCATGGTGGAATATTCCTCGCCTATTCCACAGCAAAACCCACTTGGTCATCAATCTTGACTTGAAGAACATTTGTGCCGGCTCAATGTCCACCGATCATGATTGTTTTTGTGTGTCATACCATTTTTTAACACTAGTCACCATCTGCTCAAGGAATGTGTCAATTTTGTTACGATTCGACAGGGATATACAGATGTAAATCTGTTTCATTCGCTTTTTCTCGTTAACTCGCGTGGAAGAGCTTCCTTGTACCTCCCGCATTTTTCAAGGGTTGCCAAACTGAGCAATATTTAGCACTTGAGCAATCGAATACTGTGTGCTGTCAAGGCATTCAGATGCAGCAATTTCCATTATTTTATAGAAATTCTCACAGACACGAGTGGTTGTTACAGTATCCGGACTGTAAACGCCATTTACATGTTCAGATGCTTGCTTTGCGTTTTTTGCTCTTATGGAAAAGAGTTGTAGAATATATAGTATTTTTTTTTTGCTGGTGCCCATTCGTGACATGTCCGGCAACACAACGGAGTTAAGTGATCAACACTTCTCTCATTAATTTTTTTAGTACAAAATATCATCTTTCAAACGCCGTCTAGCGTAATCCCATCGGACTTTTAGAGCGCTGGAAATGAGGATATTAACTCTGTTGCAAATGAGAAGAGATGAGCGGATCAATACTTATACCTATCGGGTCAGAATGACAAGTTCGGTTAACTTAGACTTGCCCGGTCCGTTCGTCTGCTTGTAGATAAAGACAATTCCCCCAGTTTTTGAAATATTTCAAACAAACTTGGTAACCCGATATATACTATATAATATTTATATAATTTGCGCTTTGTAAACGTTGAAGGAATTTTCGTCTAATCCTCCGCAAAATTTTTCCAGGGATTTACAATTTGTACAAGCCACCTGCGAACGTCCAATGGATTTGTGTGAAAAACTTTTTTTATTTCATTTCAAAAGTTCAAAAAAAAAGTAATTTTTTATAATTTTGCATGTGGACCAGACCAGAACTCTGTCTCGGACCCAGTGCTCCCGAATGACAGTGCGCACTACGATCCACTCGGCGATCTTGTGTAAGAAGCCACCATATCGGACAACTATAGCCCACTTACAATCGATAGGATTTTGGGTAAAAAATCAGTCAAACAAGTATCTTAAAGCGCAAAGATTTGGTTTTCATGTTTCAGTTGTGGGAATGAATATTTAATACTAAAGTGATATGCCATAAATTTGACGTGGTCATGAAAGTTAAAACACTTTCGGCTTGGCTGTAGACAGACTTACTTTTCTGTCTTGTACTCTCTTAAACCTTTTGTTCTTTTTTGTCACACATGTCGTTCGTCGTTGAAATTTGGCTTTCAGTTTGAATGATGTTTGCATTTATCGAGGTATCTATGTGAAACTTTACTAGTATTGTTCGAGTCACAGACAGTGAGTAAAACACATGGGAGTACTTTTATTGTTGAGGCGAACGCATAGGCCGTAAGTTGTCGTGATACCGAAACTATTATCTTGCCGTGGCATAAGCATACAAATAGAACTTTCATATTGTAGTTTGAATATGCAAAAATGGAAAAATTATTAATACAAATGTATTCAATCTGGACTTAATCTACACGTACGTGGTGTAATATTTATCTTTCTAGTTTTCCATTGACTCTCAACTTAGTACTCGGATTCAAATCAAAAAAATGTATGCGGATGTGAAATTCGGAGCAATATCTCAATTTAACGGTCACTTTTTAATGCAATTGGTACCGAGTGCCTTGCACAATTGTGGAAATATTACCTATAAGTGCCCCATCACGGATTGACCTCACACATATAAAGGAGATTTATAAAAAAAAAAATAATAATCTAACTTTTACCACAAACTTAAGTACTAGAAACAAATGAAAAACTTCTAATGAATATAAATAAAAATCACGTTTCTTACAGCCATTCCAATGGAAGGACTTGTTTTTCTATAGTATTTAAAAGTACATTCATATATATATTTATATGCCGGACCCCTTTTAAAATGCACTGCCAATTGGCATACCATTATTTCTTTTATTCAAAAAATTCTACTTCCCCGAAATAAATCGCCGAATAAATAGTAAACAAAACGCCGAAATATGTAAATTACCTGTCCGCGGCGATTGCAACCAAATGTAAAATGGACGCTGTACAGCAGAGGACGTCGCATGAAGTCCAAATGTCGCATAGCTCCGGGCCAAGTATCCAACCCTCGCTAATCTGTGCAGGGGAGAGTAAGAAAAGAGTGGAAAATATTACAAAAAAAAAATATGCAGTTTATCGTGTCGATTGTGTGAAAAAGTACGAAGGGTGATGATTTATTTTTATTTTTTATTTTTTATACTGCAATGATTTCAGTGAAATGTCATTTGCTTTTCAATATGAAAATGAAATTAATTACGCTACATTATACAAATATAAAAAAAACATTAAGAATTGTGTCGAGGGTGAAATGTATGGAAAAAATAACAGTTTTTGTTTGCACATTATATACATGCTTGTCGCATAAATTGTTGTTGATAAAACTATATTTTTATTGGTATTTTTTAATTTCATTTCTTTTCATTTTTATTTTTCTGCGCTCCTTTTATTACAAAATTAAAAAAAAAAGAATTAATAAAAAATTCCAAAGTTTTTTTTTTTATTTCATTTCTACTTTTGTGCGCTCTTGTCACGTAAACTGACACCGAGTTGCACAAAGTTTGCGCTGCTGCGACTGCCGTTGACTGTGCGCTGAACTTACCTCGTAAACTGCACCGAGCGGCATCACCAGGCATGCCACCAATAAATCAGCCAACGCCAGCGATACGACCAAATAATTAGCCACACTCTGGAGGTTGCGCTCGAGAATAATTGCCGCAATTACAAAAACGTTGCCTGTTGCACGTGTTTTACGTTTTTTTTCATTGTTTTTTTTTTCGATTTTTTTTTGTGTTATGTTTTCGCAATTTTATTTCATTTTACCACAATTTTTCGTTTATTCAGGTTGCAAGTTTTTAATGCATTTATTTTTTGCGTATTTTTTTTTTGTGATTTTTCATTATTTTACAGTTGTCAGCACAGGCGACAAAAGTTTATGATTTTATTTTTTTTTGTTCGTTCGCCGTATATGCATTTATTTTATTTACACATTTTTTTCGTTTGTTTCATTTGGATTAATGCACCGCATTGATATTTATTGCATTTTATTTTTTTATGCAATTTAATTTCATTTGTGGGCAATTGGAGTAATGAAAGTGACGTCACGTATTTTTTTTTGTTGTTTTTCGTCGTTGCATAATGCAGTGTTGTTAAATCATCCGCAGCATGAAAATAGGGTAAGAAAGAGCAAAAATTGAAATTAATGTAGTAACATATTTTAAGATAGTCGTATGTACATATGTAAATAATCATTTTTCATTGATTATGGATATTATATGCTATATTCAAATTACTTCAATGTACAATTCTTTGTGTACTAATATTCGAAGGACCAAAGTTTGAGTCCCGCTCCGACCAACATACAAAATTATAGAGAATTTATTTTTACAATTGCCATCATCCCTCATGTCTGACTGGAAATAAAAAGCTCGCTCGGCTAAGGCGGCGTGGTATGAACTGCGATCTTTCGACTTAGGGATACCACAATCAGCCTTTATGAGTTACTCCCCTACGGCCAATCTTTAATTCAGACTTGTACTCTCAGTAAGTGGAGATGAGTCCCAGCTGTAATATGAGTGAATTTGAGTAATTTTTGTGTCTAATCATCATTGATGCGTCTTATCAGTGGTGGTTGTCACCGAGTGGTCCAATTCATATCTACATTTAAGTACTTTGAGTTAACTTAAAAGTAAATATTTGACTTCAGTAGATAGAAAGATTTTCGTAGCCCTTATTAATTTAAGCTAATTTGAACTTCCCGGTGAAGAGTTTTATTGCGGTTTGTACTACTTAAAGATATCACTTGTTGTCCTTAAATAAATTTCCTACTGTTTGTTGTGAGTGTTGAGTAGAATAATTGGAAATTGAAGGAGTTTCCCGTTCACATATTTCTACAGTGGCAGTGCTTGTTAGTTTTCGGAGTGACGTGCTTACAATTAAACATCAAAAGCGTTTGTCTTCTTGCGGTATAGCTTGTCTTAGACACACCTTTCAGCTCGGCAAAGACCATTTTTTCCTCAGGATGGAAAGGGGAAAATGCCTTATTTGTATTACAAAGCCAAGTTAAGTTCTATCTCTATACACATAACTACGTCGTGAGCGTTATGTTCACGAATCTGCCCTCAGAGTAAGCAGTTTGTAATTTTTGTCACGTATATATGTCCAAAAGCCTCACAAAGATTTTTAGAAGCAACGAAGATTAGTTTAACCTTGGATCAAAGGTAAGGAATGTAACATTCGCCCAGACAGGCTTTGTAAATGCTTTACAGTAGATTTTAAGTGATCTTTAGCCAGCTGTAATTGAGCCGGGAAAACTGACGTCTAGTTCTGGGAATTTTTAGGATGGAGGACTCGTGACTTTGCAATGGTATTTTTCAAACCTTCAAGTAATTAAGGGTTATCCATCTATACAGGCCAATTTAAAAACACAAAAAAATATATAAATCAAAAGGCAGGGCTATTTCCACAAAAGCATAAAAATTCAAAATAGCTGAAGAATCGCATTGGCTTTCGACTTCCATCTATTGATAGATTCGTCACGAGCTTTACTACTTTGTGAAAAAAAAACTAAATAAATAAAATTATTTTCGCAAGCCAAATACACAAATTCATATTGTGATTTTTCACTATCAATTTCGAATTTCATGAATATCAAATACACCTATTTGAAGGTTTGAGTGTATGTATCTGTTTTTATGTATTCAAACGTTCGTTGGTTGGTTGCCGTCACTACACCGCCGTTTCACTTAACCTTTATCCAGGGTCAGTAAACACTTTTCGCAAATCAAACAGCCGTGAACTTTACCGTGGCTGACGGAAGGAAGGAAATTGATTTTGAATGTCATTGCTACAGATATCTACCGTACATACAAAAATAAACTAAGCATTTGTATATGCACCAGCATATACTGTTTTTGGTTAAGTCTGAGTGTAAAGAGCAAAAGGACATAAATAAATTATAAACGTAGCCACAAAACAAAGCAACAAAATGCAAATATGGGAAATGTCCCTTGGAAAACAGGAATATTTGAGGGTAAAAATTATAAGAAATAAAATATAATAAATTAAAATAAAATAAAATAATAATCTAAGACAAAATAAAATTATATAAAACAAAAAATATATTATTATAAATTAAAATAAAATAATCACAAATATAATTGTATTAAATCAAATTAAAATAATTAAAGTAAAATTAAATAAAACTAAATTAAATGAAATAATAGAAAGCAAAAGAAAAAATTTAATTAAGTATAAAAACCGACGTAAGATAATATAAAATAAAACAAAAATAATAAAATAAAATAAAAGAAAATAAAATAAAATAAAATAAAATAAAATAAAATAAAATAAAATAAAATAAAATAAAATAAAATAAAATAAAATAAAATAAAATAAAATAAAATAAGATAAAATAAAATAAAATAAGATAAAATAAATAAAATAAAATAAACTAAAATAAAATAAAATAAAATAAAATAAAGTAAAATAAAATATTGTAAGATAAAATAAAATAAAATTAATTAAAACAAAATAAAATATAATACAATGAAATAAAATAAAATTAAATTAAATAAAAAAAATTAAATTAAATAAAATGAAATACAAATGAAATAAAATAAATTATGAAAATGTGATATAAAATAAGTTGGAATAATTAAATTATATATAAAATAATGTAAAATAAAATAAATAAATACAAATCAAAATAAAATAAAGTAAACTAAAATATTTGAATTAAAAAAAAAATAAATAAACTTAAGAAGTATTAAAAAAATAAAATGATTAAAATATTACAAAAGAAAGGAAGCGGAAATAAAATAAAATAATTTAAAATGAAATGATATAAGTTAAACTAAAATAACATAAAAAAAATTACTATTTAAGATATCATTAAATATAGTAAAAAAATAAAAAAAAAACATTAGAAAGTAAAACAACTTAAAATAAAATAAAATTAAGACTTAGCTTAAGTGAAACAAAATAAAATTAAATTGATTAACATTCAGAATAAATAAATAAAATAAAATATTATTATTGAAAATGAAATTCAACTTTTTTGCTAGGATACTCATGATTCACCCTTTATATATGCATATCCGCACTTAGACTGTATATAAAATATTTTAAGTTGAAATTTTACTTTGCTAACATAACTACAAATAAATATGTATGCATCTATTAGCGTACACATATATGCTATTCTCATTTCTGTGAAAATCTTCAGGGCTCTTTCTCTTACAAAATTATATACAATAGTTTTTAGAATTTTAGCGCTTTTCTTCTTTTATACGTTATTCAAAGTTTTTTTTTATGAAAACAAACGTATATACTCATATGTTTTATATCTTTGTTTTTAACGTCTTTTGTTTCTGTTCTTTGTTGTTTCCTGTTACACATGCAATATGAATATATATACGTGTCCTAAATTTAAGGAACATTTTTGAAACGTAGTGACATTGACATCATAGACTTCAAAAAAAATTAAAAAATTTTAAAAGAATACTTATTTTTTTCATTCTACGTTTTTTCTAAGGATTGCTGGAAAACGGAGATTCAAACTTAGTTTCAATACAGTTCTTCAAAAATGAATGATTGTTTCCTAAAAAAAGTAATATGAAAATTAATTCTATATTTTAAATACAAGTATATATTACCAACACATTTCATTTCCCTTTCGCAAAAATCGCATTGTGTTGCAATTTTAAGTTTTTTATCGACATTTTTCTTATATTGTCAACAGATGGTACATTAATAGCTCAGACATGAAACTGTTTCTTAGAATTCACATTCGAGAAAAACGTAAAAACTAAAGAAACAAATCGAAGCAAAAACAGAGAGTAAACAATAAAACACGACGAGACAAAACAATTTTATACCCAATACATAGGTATGTACATATGCATACCTTTTGTTGCACGAATGCTTGTGGAGAAAATAAATATTGAGATGGGGAAAAAATGTTTGTTTTTTGTATGCAAGAATAAAAAATAAATAAAGTAATATAAAATAAAATAAAATAAAATGAAATAAAATAAAATAATATAAAATAAAATAAAATAAAATAAAATAAAATAAAATAAAATAAAATAAAATAAAATAAAATAAAATAAAATAAAATAAAATAAAATAAAATAAAATAAAATAAAATAAAATAAAATAAAATAAAATTAACTTAAACGAAATTATAGGTTTTATTTATGAAATACTTTGCCGCCTTGTCTTCTAAGTATGTAGTATATGAGCATGCTTTAAAAAAAAAAAAACAATTAAACAATATCTAAGAAAATATTGTCAGACTGGCATCAAATTGGTATTCCGTTTGGAAGTTGGAATTTTTTAAATTTCGCTCCCTGACGCATTTACGTTATGCTTGTATATTTCATTAAATACGCAAAATAATGGAGTTGGGTTAGAAATTGTTTTCAGACATCCATACAAAAACAAAAACATTTGTATATGTAAGCACAAACTCAGATGAGACTAAAAAGCTGTCAAAATCATTGGCATACAATTTGAACTTGGTCTGGCATTGTAAAGCCATAAAAATACGTTTAATTCCAATAATATGTATAATGGTTGTGTAGTTTGAGTAGATTTCTGTCTGTATATTGTATGGCTACATGTTGCCTTATAGACCTAGACACACATATATGTATATTAATACTACACATAAACATATTTATATGCAATTTGTATTTATAAATATTTCATAATATCTGCCCTATGCTTGGGAAACTCTCGTTTTCGCAAAGTGAAATGCGTTTTGACAGCAAATCGATATTCAGCAATTTTAAGCGCAAATAATGCAAAGGATGTGCATAAGTTTTTAATTTTTTTGCTTCTTACTTTACCTAAGCACTTAAGTACACATCATAAAAAAGTAACATTAATGCCATTTGGGATTATGGTCGTGATGTGGGGTTACGCTAATATTGAAAAAACCCAGCCCGTATGTATGTTTGTATGAAATCAAAGCTCGTATACATTATGACGTAATAAATTTGTTATTTGACGAAGGCATTGATAACTTAAATAAAATATATTTTTTTTTTTTTTGTACAAAAATTTATCAAAATTATTCCCTCATGGGAGATTTGCTTATTATTAAGAAGAAGTGTCGCTACAGCATCTGAGGTGGCTCTGTGCACATTATCGATCATGAAATTATAGTTTTTCCTTGGCATCACTAGTTAAGAACCATTGTTTTTGGAACTATTTTGGCGCCATTAAGATTTCTTAACATAGCAGGAACAGTTAAAATTATATTCAGTGTCACTTTGAGACTACATTTTTACAACTCTGGACTAGTATTGTGCCTCAACGTGACTATGATAGCTTAGCATTACTTTAAAATTATTCCCAAAATTTAATATGAAATTTTTGGAATCAACTTGATGTTGCTTAAATGCAAAACATTCTGATATCATTATAATTGAATAACATCGCTATGAACAACTTTAGGACTAGCTAAAAATAGTTTCGCGAACATAAAGTAAAATTATTTTAGAACTAAGCTATTTTGGTACTAGTATATAATTACTTTGGAACTAGTGTTGGAACATATCTAATAGAAGTTAAAATTATATCTAAAAAATTTCATTTTATTTCGTATCAACTCGAGTCAGCATGACTCTAGTTCAGATAGTTTTGGAACACATACTTACTCACGACCACTTCCTTTAAAAGTCAGCATTCGTTAAAAAATCAAAAAATCTACGCATTACTTATATGTTAAATTCGCATTTATTTTACATTTTTTAAGTACCAGGCGAGATTGCTTCAGGTTTAGGCCAACATTACTTTCAGACTAGTTTAGGACTAGTTACGTCCTAGTTTCGAAATAATTTGAAGGAATTATCGGACGCTGCTCGCCGGGCTTTATGAGGAATAACCAACTCTCGTTACACATATATTTATATATATATATATATTTCTTTTTTCTTTAATATATTTTAATATAAGCGATATTTAAATTTTTGGTTTTTTCATTAACTTTTATTTATTTATTTACTTTTTTTTTGCTTAAAAAATCTTGTTATATTTTTAAACATTTAGTTGAATTATGTTTACTTTCTCAATATATTTTTTCAACAGCTATTTTTCAATAATTTTTTTCCTTTCGAAAACCACTCAACCGCATACTCGCCCGTTCACACTCACTCAGTCCGTTTATCAGATCATTATGCATTTTTCACGACAACTACTCACCTATTATAGTTATGAAGATGAGTAAGCCCAACACAATAGACATGACAATCATTTTCACCAACGCCACCATTGGATCCGCTGTGGCATTGCCATTGCCGCCAATAATGTCTTCCAGTTGCTGGTCATCAAACTCATTACGTTCACCTATAAATACATCAATAATATTGTTGCTACCATTCAGTATCCCAACACCAGAACCAACACCACCATCGCCGCCCAACCCCACACCTATGCCGGTGCCATTGTATGTGATGAAACCGTCGCCACTCTCGCCACCATCGTTAAAGCTTAGCAAAATGTTGTTGCTGTTACTCGAATTACCGCTTGTACCATTCAATACAATCTGATATGCGCTCGTTTCGTTGAAGTCCAGCAACATTGATGTGACATTACTGTATACTTTGTTGTATGTGTTGTAGGGATTTTGAAGGAGTGGTGCATTCAATTCGTCGATACCGCCATGCACTACAGGCACCTCAGCATTTAGGTCAGTGTAGTATTGTTGTTGTTGTGCTGTTGTACTCCAAGTGGCGATTGACGGTGAAATTATATCACCCAGCATATTGCTTTTGGCGGCAATAGCCAATGAGTGGACAGTTGTTGCTGCGTCTGCTGCTGCGGTGGGTAGGTAGAAGGTTTGATGTTTCACTGGCTATTGAAGGGTCTCTTCTCGCCAGTGATGTATTTGATGGTATTGATTGAAATAGTTATACAATTTTTCTGGTATATATTATATAGGGTTGTGTATGTTTCTTGGTTTAGTTATATATTCTAAGTAATATCGCTATTGGTGTTTTCATTCCTAGAAATATATTTGGTAGTTATTCATGTTACGTCAGCTCCTTATGTTGTTTAGCAGTTTATTGCTATTCAGTTATTATCGTCTCTTCATTCCCATTTGTTTCGATTAGACGGTCGAGCCGTTGAATGATTTTCAATGGACATCATCTGTAAAGGTAAACGATAAGAGTAGAAGGAGATGTAAATACCTACATAAGTGACTGCTACTTAAGTACTAAATGTTTCACTGGTTCTAAGTACATAGCCATTTACACATATTCGTACATATATAAAATTTTTAAGGTGAATTTTATGGTGCGAAATGATGATTTAATTGAAGTCTCACATCCTCTACCACTCCTTTGCCTTTGTATACAGTGAAAAAGTTAAATACTCAAATAGTCAAATAGTCTCATAGTGATATAGTAATATAGTCACATAGTCATATAGTGATATGGTCACATGGTCCTGTAGTCATATAGTCACATAGTCTCATAGGAACATAGTTATATCGTCACATAGTCAACCACTGATATAGACACATGGTCATATAGTCATATAGTCACATAGTTACATGCCAAGTAGTCGTATGGTCACATAGTCAAATATTCATATAGTGATATAGTCACATACTGATATAGTCACATAGTGATACAGTCACATAGTCATATAGTGATATGGTCACATAGTCATATTGTGATAAAGTCATATGGTCACATATCCATATAGCCACATAGTCTCAGTGTCACATAGTTATATAGTCACTTAGTCACTCAGTGATATACTGATATAGTCACATAGTCATATAGCCACATAGTCTCATTGTCACATAGTGACATAGTGATATAGTGATATAGTCACATAGTCATATAGTGATATGGTCACATTGTCACGTAGTCAAATAGTCACGTAGTCAAATAGTCACATAGTCTCATAGTCACATAGTTATATAATCACACGGAAATATACTGATGTAGGCACATGGTCATATAGTCATATAGTCACATAGTTACATGCCAAGTAGTCGTATGGTCACATAGTCAAATATACACATAGTGATATAGTCACATAGTTATATAGTCACACAGTCATATAGTGATATAGTCACATGGTCACATAGTCATATAGCCACATAGTCTCATTGTCAAATAGTTATATAGTCACATAGTCACATAGTGATATAGTGATATAGTCACATAGTTATATAGTGATATGGTCACATGGTCCTGTAGTCTTATAGTCTCATAGGCACATAGTTATATAGTCACACAGTCATATACTGATATAGGCTCATGGTCATATAGTCATGTAGTCACATAGTTACATGCCACGTAGTCGTATGGTCACATAGTCAAATATTCATATAGTGATATAGTCACATAGTCACATACTGATTTAGTCACATAGTCACAAAGTGATATACTCACATAGTGATATAGTCACATAGTCATATACTGATATAGTCACATAGTCACATAGTGATATTGTGATATAGTGATATTGTCACATGGTCACATAGTCATATAGCCACATAGTCTCATTGTCAAATAGTTATATAGTCACATAGTCACTTAGTGATATAGTGATATAGTCACATAGTCATACAGTGATATAGTCACATGGTCGCAAAGTCACATATTCAAATAGTCGTAAGTATATTTAGCTCAAGAATTTTGTTAATATTAATAAAAAAAAACAGCCGGAGAAAAGTCACTTCTTATTGCCTTTGTTACTTCACTTTACAGATTTTCAAATATTTTTTTACTATAAATTGTCAAAATAAACTATCCAACTATCCAAATGTCTTATTTTAATTTTACAACATTGAATGTACACATGTACAATTTATTCAAAATTTCTCCATGAATATCCACACAAGCAAAAGTAACACCTTAATCAGTGACAGTGAAATATGTCTTCAAATATTTTTACAATTTTTGTTGAGCCAAAGATTAAAATACTCAATTTCTTCATAAACACCAAGAAGCGTTATTAACACCCTGAAACATTTTGACGGCTGGTCCAGTTGGTATTGTTTTACAATGTTAAACATTCTTTACATTAACCAAGCAACAATTCGAAAATTTATAAAGTAAAAGTATACAAAACAATTTTTCCTCAATTTTTTCACTTTTATATAAGACTGCTTCAATAATAAACTGATCAAAAAACTAAAAAAAAACATGTCTATTGAAATTCCTCCAGAGACTTATTTTTATAGATCGCTGTGAGAAAAGTGAGAAAATTTAAAAAATTAAACGTAGAAATTCCAAAATGCATTGTTATTCAAAGGTTTGCTTCAATCAAAACGCTTCTTTGCTCTATTTGTCATTGCCCATGCCAACATTTATGGTTTCGTATATTATGTATAAAGAACATTTGTTTGTATGCCTGTGCGAATTTGATTTTCTTGTCTTGTCGCTTGTTGTGAGCGCCGCAGGATGGCATTTTAATATCCCGAGTGCATTTTGCGTGCTGCTCTATTCATGTGAGGCGCACTCACTTATGTATGTATAAAGAGATCAACCACGTAGGTATGGTGGCGCAGTCTTGCAATAAAAGCGACAAAGCTGCTGCAACAATAATAACATCTGAGAATATGACGATGGCGGCATTAAGAGTAAAGCTCTGGCACAGGATGCAATGTTAGCGACTCAGGCACTGTGGACTGGAAGTGCGTACATTTCATATCTTAAAATTATGTCTTTCGTTATCTACCAAACTAAATAAATTATCATAAAATAAAATAAAATAAAATAAAATAAATTAATATAAAATAAAATAAAATAAAATAAAATAAAATAAAATAAAATAAAATAAAATAAAATAAAATAAAATAAAATAAAATAAAATAAAATAAAATAAGATAATAAAAAATAAATAAAATAAAACTAAAATAAATAAAATTTAGTTAAATATAAAAAAAAAAAAAATAAAAAAAAATTTAATTAAATATAATAAAAGAAAATAAGAAAAAATTATATAAAATGAAGCAAAATAACATTAAATTAAAAAATTTAATAAAATAAAACAAAAAAATGTTAAACTAATAACTAAATAATAAAAAAAATTATTAGTTAATTGAAATTAGAAGACTGGCACAATAGCACAAAACACTAATTGTTAAAAATTCCAAATGTTGTAAATTTCAGAAATTAAACATACTAAAATATTTATAGCACAGTAAAATAAATATAAAAGTAATAAAATAAAATAAAATGAATTAAAATAAATCAAAACAAAATGAAATAAAAAAAACATAAATGAACTAAAATGAAAAAAATGAAATATAATTAAATAGTTTAAAATAAATTAATTAATTAAAGGTAAAAAAGAAAAAATTCAAAAGCTATGAACAAATTTTTTTAAACTAAATGAAATAAATCTACTAATATAGAGGCTGACGACCATTTTTTTTTAATTTTATGATACCTTGCGGTGTAAGTCTTATCTTAGCCTTCCTTAAGTCTTGGATTAGAACAATTAAAAAAAATTAAAATTTTTGCTTTTTCTTGTCAATTTTCATCTGTTTAAACGTTGAAGCTTGCTCATTTCTTTACACTCACGTTTCATTTGGCTTAGAAATTCCTTTGGTTTTAAGTTGTTGTTCCTTTCCGGAATGACGTTGTGTGCTGACGGGGAAATCTACTATGACACTTTAACCTTTATCATGCTGTGTGTGTCAGTATGCAATTTTGATTGTGTAGCCAAACTGACAAGCAAACTTACGTAAACATATATATGTATGAAATAAGCGCTTTGTAATCATTAATATTACATACTCGGCTGTGTTTTTGTGTATTCACAAAATGAATAAAAAATATTTGTTCTCTGTTGGTTGAAGGAAAATATTAATTTAGTGTTTCTAGCTGAAGTTTCTACATTCTCTCATACGAGCATATAACAAGTTTGGCTTTAAAGGTAATAAATCACTGAGGGATTAATTCATTATTTTATTTTTTTGCTTGTTAAGAAAGGGCCCATATAAAAATGTACATATGTATACGGGGTATTTTCAAAAACTTTTATATGACTTTTGAAATACGGCAAATTACACCCGAAATTATTTTCTCCTTAGTAATTTTGCTGTATACATATACATTAAATGTTAAAAGTTTTTCTTGATGCATGAATATTTAATTTTATTGAAAATGTTATCAAATATTTAAAACACGCAAAGCGTTAGCATATTTATCAAAAACAAAAAAAATCTTTGTGAAAATGTGTGGACCCACAGCCCAACAGAAATTTTTTCGCCTTATACTCACTCACGTACATACATACTTTCGTGGAAGTTTCTATGGCATAATATATAGTTATATATATAGATATATATATAGATATAGGTGCACAGACCTGCTTTTGGTGTAGGCGCGTTACGTATACGCCATGACACCTTGCGCCGTATATACAGCGCTTTGCTTGGAGTCCTGCTGAGTAGTTAATTTATTTAAGAGTATACTACTTAAATGTAAGAAACGAAGCAATGCATATTTGTGTTTTTGTATGTGAGAGTATGTATGAAAATATAGTTTTTAGTAAGATATATATTCCTTTTCTTATTTACTTCTATTTTGCGCTTCCTCTTTTCCTTGAGTCTGGTTGCTGCTGTTGTTACTGAGTGGGCAAAATTTACTATCGAGGATACGCTCAGCTCTTCCCTACGCTGTTGCTTATATGTTTAGTGCTCACGTTGATGCGAATGAACTTGAAACGTGTGTCAATAGTAGCTTACTGATATTCCCATATATTATATGTACATACCACACAATAGTTCGCATTACTCCATATGTGTTTCATTAAAATTTTACATCTCCTATAATGAATGGCCGAGTGGCTGGAATTTCGTAATGTCATTCTAAACACTAAAGCTCAAGTCCTGCTTTGACCATCATCCAAAATTATAGGAAATTATTCTTTCTAATTGCGATAATTGCCCCTCAACAGGAAAATTAAAGCCTTCCGAGTGTTCTTCACAAATAAGTCAGTATTAGACGCCCTGTGAAAATCATTCTACCATTTTTACAATAGCTGGCTTTAGTGATGTGTCTTAATTTCTACAAGTGCGGTTGGATTACGCTTATATAATTATATGTTCCCGTGTATGGCGAATAATTTGGCTTGAACTCAAGAACAGCCTGTGGAAATTGTAATTCTTTTTTCATCAA